TTTTGAATTTTTTGGTTTTGTTGAAGATTGAGAATCAGAATTCAATTGGATTTCATTATTTGATAGATTCATATGCTTAGTTTTCTGTTTTCTTTTAATTATTGTTGATCATTCATCTTATTTTTACTATTTTGAAGTGTAATTTTGGATTCTATTGGTGATTTTATAGTATTTCTGCTTCTTTGTTCATGCGATTTATATGAGCTATTTTCAACAGTTTTAGAATGATGAGAATTTGTTACTAATGTCTGTAAATCATATTTCTGAATTGTGACTTAAGCAATTTGTGCCTAATATGTTAAGCAACATGTTTGTTAGTCTGTATCTAATGCTTAATATATTAAGCAACATATTCATTAGTTTGTATCTAGTGCTTTATATGTTAAGCATCATTTTCATTAGTCTGAATCTAGTGCTTTATATGTTAAGCATCATTTTCATTAGTCTAAATCTAGTGCTTTATGTGTTAAACAATTTTTTTTATGTTTTAAGCAAAAATTTTATGTGTTAAGCAACTTTTTCATTAATCTCTTATTTTATTCAATGTGTTGATTAGTATGTTAAGCAACTATTATTAGTTTGTATCTAACTATGTATTATTGTTGTTTTATTAATGTGCAATAGATATGAACTTGGATATCATTCGAAATGATGGTGTTACTGGTGTGATTAAGTATAATAGGTTTACATTTTCTTATGAGTTTATTTGTGATAGTAGTGTTGCTGAGTTAAAAAGTGTCATTTCTATGTTACCATATTCCGAGAGGCGTACTCGCTTGCAATTCAATATATTCCAAATGATGAGAAGCCAAAAGATGGTGAAGAAGAACCTGCTATATTACCTCCAGATGTTAGGAGACCTCTTGGGAGGCCAAAGAATAGCGTATTTCAAATTGAAATGTTACAATTTAAGTTGTGCATATACAGTATTGCTGGATGGATCCATAAGCTCTAAATGGTAAGAGCGCTCACTAAATGAGAGGACGGTTGATGGTTCGAATCCATTTGGATCCAATTTGAGTTAGTCAGCTCAAAAGAATTTGATATTTAACACAAACATACAAAACTAACTGTTTCACATGTTAAACAATTGTTTATAAGGTGCTTAACATGTTAAACAACTTTTGATTGGTTGTTTAACATGTTAAGCAACTTTTAGAGTGTTGTT